TGCAGAACCATAAATTAGTTGTTTTAATAGGAAAGTGGTAAAGTTTTTTAGGACAACCAAAAAGGGAAAGTTGGCAAAGTCCAATGGGACGGAGTATATTTTTTAAATAAATATATTTTAAATTCAATTTTTCCATAATTCAGTATATTCAGCCAGTTAAGCAGTTTCAATAAGAACTTCATCAATTTCAATATATTCAGCCATTTTATGTGTTGCCAAACAGACTCTAAATAACATTCTAAATGAAAAAGATGTTCAGTGTATGACAGTATTGTCAATGTAAAATATATCAATGGGTTTAAAATGTCACATAATGTGATGAAGTTGCTCAAATGAGAGTCATACAAAAAATGAGCAATAAGAAATATAAAGTCATGTCATTGGCGGGCCCAAGGTATAAAACCCCCAAATTTTTCAGTGTTTTAACTTTTCATTTTTGTCGTAATTTCTAAAAAACAAATATCAAAATTCATAATTTTTTGACCTTTCATACGGGAAGAAAATTGCTTGTAGAAAAAGAAAAAAAAACGATTACCAGAAAAAAACTAGCTCTTCTAAAATATAAACTGCTTATATGCTCATTTTTTTCATTTAAAATTACGTATTTAGGGATTTATCAACCTTATCAATCAATTTTTTAACATATAAGTAAATTTTAATTTCCCACACTGGATTGTACAATGATCAAAATAAGTAAGGTTTGAATTATTTTTCTGCCTTAATTGAATGAATTTACTGCACGGGACAATTTTAGCTACTTTTTCATATAAAATTTTGCATAATTTAGTAGATTCAATGAGTTCAGCGCTTTAATCTAGAAAATCATCAATTTCAATCTATTTTGTCAATTTATGTGTTACCAAACTAACTATAAATAAAATTCTAAATGAAAAAGATGTTCAATTGAGGAAAGTAATTTTGTCTCTCATATGTAGTGCTTTTAGTTATAAGATAAACCGGCTAACAATTGAGCGGGAAAATTTTATCTCTCATATGTAGTGGTTTTAGATATAAGAAGATGAACTTGCTAATAATTGAGGAGGAGAATTTCTCTCTCACATGTAGTGCTTCTACGTATTAGAAAATAAGCTTGCTAACAATTGAGCAAGAAAGTTGAACGGGATAAATTTTCTCTCATATGTAGCGCTTTTAGGTATTAGAAGATATGTTCACTAACAATGGTTCAGAATAACTTTTTCTTTCATACATAGTTCTTTCAAGTATAACATAAACCAACTAACAATTGAACGGAAGAATTTTGTCTCTCATATGTAGTGCTTTTAGTTATAAGATAGGTTGGATAACAATTGAGCGGGAATATATCTCATATGTAGTGGTTTTAGATATAAGAAGAAGATAAGCTTGCTAATAGTTGAGCAGGAAAATCTTCTCTCTCATATGTAGTGCTTCTACATATTAGAAGATAAATTTGCTAACAATTGAGAGAGAATATTGAGCAGGAGAATGTTCTCTCTCGTAAGTAATGTTTTTAGGTATTAGAAGATAAGTTTACTAACATTTGATTGAAATATAACTTTATCTCTTATATGTTGTTCTTTTAAGTATTCGTTATAAGATAAACCGGCTCACAATTGCACGTGATATGAAGTGCTTTCTCACTCATATGTAGTGCTTTTAGGTATATGAAGATGAAGATGAAGATAAGAAGATAAGCTTGCTAACAATTGAACGGGAAAATTTCTCCCTCATATGTAGTTCTTTTAAGTATGATAATTCGGCTAACAATTGAGCGGGAGAACTTTCTCTCCCATATGTACTGCTTTTAGGTATAAGAAGATAAGTCATCTAACGATTGAGCGGGAGAATTCTCTCTCATATGTAGTGCTTTTGGATAAAAAAGATAAGTTTGCTAATAATTGAGTAGGAGAATGTTATCTCTAACATTTAGTCCTATTACGTATTAGAAGATAAACTTGCTCATAATTGAATGGAGAAATTCTCTCACATATGTAATTCTTTTAAGTATTTGATAAGCCGACTAACAATTGAGCGAGATAATTTTTTCTCATATTTAATTCTTTTAGGCTGTGTTAAGATAACTCGGCCACCCGGTCTCAGAACCGGCCTGATTGAGTGTAAACCCACAAATATGCACAAAATCAGAATTAATCGCAAATAGTTTTTAGGTATAAAATAAGACGGCTAACAATTTAGCAGGATAATTTTCTTTCTTATATGTTAGCACTAATTTAACTCATGAGTGGCAAAATCTTATTTAGCTAATATTATTATCTTTAATATTTATTATATTTACGTAAATATTATGTCACTCACTTATTTTACTCACTTCTTTAGAATAATATTTAATTTTAAAATTAACTTAATCATGAAAATTAATAAGTAGCAAATTCCAATGAGTGGCATCAATCAATTTTCGCTAATATACTCTTCATTAAGTATTTATGATATGGACTTATATTTTATGGTAATAGCTCATCATACTCTTATTTTTGAAAATATAGAATCCTAAAAAGTTATTTTTATTTTAATATTTAATTTGATCATGAGTACAAATATATGCACCAACTGCTCTTTCCCGTGCGTATGCACGGGTGCCATACTAGTTTCATATATAAATTTTAAGCTCAGTCAATTAATCTAGAGACTTCTAAAAGTTAAAAAAAAAAATTGAACCGATTACCTCTTTTTCAGGAACTTCAGCCTATAAAAGTTTTGGAGGCTTCTATTTTCCATACAAATCACGAACTTCGGCCTAATAATCAGCTACAGTTCAAATGCAACAAAAATAACCAAACAGGCCGTATTTAGTTTCTTTCCCAAAACGTGAAAGAAAGAAAAAGGAGTAAAAAAACAATCAAAGAGTATCGATCTCATAATCTCGCACGCTCCGTTTTAGTCTTTTAGCGAGGGCGGAAGTAGCTTTAGCCTTTGACAGTCAACCTCATCTCTGAAGGCCGATGGTCCGCCCTTGTTTGATTTTTGGACTGCTGTCAAGCTCGTCTTCGGCGGTCTTTTAGTTTTTATGCAGAGCGTCTGAATCTACGAAGTATTCGTTTCTTCAGTTCCGGCGGTTGTCGAACTCGGGCGCTATTTTCTTTGTTAGTGGCCTTGGACGGATCCAGATTATCAGGCGAGATTGATTCCTTTTCTGTACTGTTGTTTTGATTTCGTTTGTTTTGGGATTTCGTGTTTGTGTCTTGTACGGACGATGTGTTTTTATGTTTCTTCCTTTGGATGATGGTGTGGGTTGACGGAAGAGGATGTGAGGATGTTGGTTCTGGAATTGTACATTTATAGCTGAACATTTTTACTGTTCGCACCACCCTCCTCACCTAATGAAACACAAGCAAGCATCATGTCACACTTTTGGCAACAGTAACCACCACCCCTTCGACGAATAGGAGGCCACATAAATTTGGTCTTACTATACACACCTCCTTCTCCAGCCAATAGGAATCCTTCCCAAAAAAAATTCATATCCTCGGTTGTAATTTTTGACCAAATAAAATACCGAGTATTAAGAACTGAAGTTGACACATCTGGGCGGAAATACTATTCGTCCGACATCTTTTCCTTTTAGATTATAGAAGATTTTGGATGTACTAGTTCATATACATCCAAGCAATTTTGACAACTTACTTATTACACAAGTTACTTATTATTGTTTTGTTTGTATACACAAGCAATTTTGTATTTTAAAATGAATTGTGTGTATAGACAACCAGAACGGGACATGTATAAAAAATGTAAAAAAATGTGTACACAAGAAATTCTCCTAAATTATTATGCCGTCTTTATTATGTTCTGAGTTTATGCAAGTTATTCTTAATTTCTATCCTAATTTTACTCTCACGCCACTACTACAAAAGGGACTTTTCACGTCAGTTATTTATACCCTTTCACGTCAGTTTTCCAAGAGACGAGGAAAGTGTGGACGTAATAGGTGATGAACATATCACTTCGATTCCGTAACTGACGTAAAAAGAACCATTTTACATCGGTTTTATACCAAAACGGACGTTGAAAGTGATCTCTATAATAAAATAAAAAAGGATTCCACGTCTGTTTTTTCTCGGAACCGACGTTAAATCTATATAAAAAAAATTTAAAAAAAAATTCAATAACGTCAGGTGTACACTGAACCGACGTTATATGTATTACAAAAATTAAAAAAAAAAAATACAGTAGCACCTATTATAATCTTAAAAAAAAAAGCATTGAGCATTTGTTTTTTATATAACCCATTACAGTGCCATTGAACGAATCCTACGAATAATTTTCAACAGAGGGACATCATTTAGTTCAAAATCCACACTAAACAGATTGATAAAAACTGAACGAAAATGAAAACAGCCAGAGCATTACATAAAATAAACTATAATGTATTTGTAATATACAATACTCCGTATTACATTTAGAACTTCATGAATCCATGATGAGTAGCAATTCCTAGCTTATGGCACTTGCATCAAATAATCTTTGCCGCGCTTTGAATCTGAAAATGGAAAATATAAATGAAAATTACGTACAAATATTTGACTCACTTATGCCTTTAAATTAAAGTCAACAACCCAAATTATTAATGAGAGCAACCAAAAACACTTTTTAAAATCTTTATTTTTGACCAATAAGTATTTCTCAGTAGTGTAGCAAATATGTCAGTTTATATGTTATTCATATCACTGTGCACATACTTGTTGATCGACTTCTGACTTCAAAGTTAAACTCATGGACACACGATATGAAATTGAAAGGATCTACGATTACTCGAATAGCACCATGCGAACAATCCTTGATCAAGCAATAAGAAATGGAACTGTTTTTCCTTGATCTGCAAAGGACACAAAATGAATGTTGATATAAAGAGACTGCAAATTAATGTTTATATGCACACCTCCAATTGTATTATTGTATTATTTCATTATTTATAAAAAAACATAAAATACAGTGTAAAATGAGTTTTAGTCTAAGGCTCGAGAGAGGCCACAATATGCAAACCAGAAACCTATAAGGCGAGATCACAATCACCAACAAGAGAGTTATGCACCAGTCCAAAACTAGGCCGGATCAGATTAGAACAAGTTTTGTCAGAATCTGAACAACGAAATATTACCACCCAGAGAGAGAACTTGAACTCTACGGGTCTAGACCTGTTCTTCCCGGTCTGATTTTTAACCTGCATGGATTAGTTACAAATGATAAATGACTAAGCATTAAACATACATTGTAATTTCAAACAAAGAAATAGTTTCTACCAAATAGCAATAAGATAGGTAAGATGGAGTATTAACTATTTAGATATGAACGCTAGTTTGAAGTATTAGTAGATACGAACGCTCATACTTCAGTTACTACTTACTATTATTACTTATAATAGGTAATTGCACTTCAAAACTGTTGCTAGGTACTAATATGCATCAAATTAGAATATTAAACAAGTATTAAACTGCAAATTGCAGCATACAACAGTTTAGCATACACTCGGTTCGTAGCTATCTAGTTACTGCATTATAATGCAATGTTGAAAATGCCCACAAATTACTAGTCTATGATTGCAGACCCCCCGATGCAACTAACATATTTAGCAATCATAGATTTTATAGTATGTTTAATCAAATTTGATCAAAAAGACATAAGCCAGTCTAAGACATGACTTCAATAACAGATATGTGTTAAAGTTTAAAGGTGAGTTCATAGAATTTTTTAAAAGTTAGAAGTACTAAATAACTAAACACAAAGGAAAATATATATCTGAAATTGAAAAAACATAGTAACCTGAGGTTACTAAACAATTGCTTAACCTGAGGTTTGCATTTCATCAATCTCCTAGTTTTATATTTCACTAACGAACTATCTGTATCATTTAACACCATCACATGTACGCTGTGGATCCCATCTGACAACCAAACAGCTTGTATACCTGCAAAGATGGTTGTTTTCTTGTAAAATTGAAGACACATCATCATAAAAATTTAAGGGATAAGGGTCAGATAGGGCCTCGAACTCGAAAAAAAATGTCAAATAAGGTCATATTTCGGATGCTCTGTCTGGCCGACGCCATTTGGGGCGGTTCCCGATGGAATTTTTTGATAGAATTTTTTGAGCATCTTCCTCATTAAGTCTAGTTTACCCATACCAAATTTCAGCTAAAAACTCAACCGGGAAGGTAGTCAAATGAGTTTTTGAAGATAACTGTGAAGTTAAACAACGCCGTACATTTCGGAAAATTATTTGACTACCTTCCCGGTTGAATTTTTAGCTGAAATTTGGTATGGGTAAACTAGACTTAATGAGGAAGATGCTCAAAAAAATTCATCAAAAAATTCCATCGGGAACCACCCCAAATGGCGTCGGCCAGACAGAGCATCCGAAATATGACCTTATTTGACATTTTTTTTCGAGTTCGAGACCCTATCTGACCCTTATCCCAAAATTTAAATAGCTAGAGGACAATTTTCTGCTGCTATAAACTATACTATAAATCATTATCAACTAACATCAGACGCTAGAGGAGTTCCATTTGCCTTAAAATGACTGAATCTGCTTTGTTTTTCAGATGTAAAGTTTATGGTAACATCCATTTTAGCCAAATAAGTCAAAACCTCCAACTTGCAGACTGATATCATTCAAAATATGGAAACAATAAAGATGACATGCTGGAGTCAGTTAAGGTTTTCCACAAACAGGGCACGACAAATTTAGTATTATTACAATAAACAGGTGGGTCGTGGATTGGAGGGGACTTGAGAGGTGGCGTTTTATATATACAGCTCTATGACAAAGTAACACGCACAATAATTGCATATACATATTGGGTTAAAAATAGGGTGGAGAATATACGCAAGGTGATGCTCCAGGTATCATATATTCATATCATTTCATTGCTTATCAAATTCCACTAATCAAAGTTAAACATATACACAAAATAAACCCAAAAGAATAAATTTTAAAAGTGCTAAACATGAATCAGGTGATGAAACTACCCATTGTACAAAGTAATTCCTTTAAGAATCACATTTTTAGCAAGTCAACAAACAAAATTTTCTATCTCATTACATGCATCGCCAAGTATGAATTGAAACAACATAATCTCTTTAACAAGAACAATTTAAAATTATCATACAAACTTTATAATACTAATAATACATCCTAATTTGAAAAAAAAATGATTACTTTCGAAACCAAATATAGGAGAAAGGTCAGTAAAGAAGAGACCTGCTTGGTGGAGACTTCTTCCACGACGATAATCGCAGGTCCAATAGATCTGAGAGAAAAGGACGGATTGAGATTTAGGGTTCACGTTACATATTAAACCAATTACATGAATTAGAAGTCAATACAAAGCTGAACCGCAGCCAGTTCCTCTCTAGGTTTGGGATGTTCCTCTCTAGGTTTGGGATTTGATCGACCGAAGAATCGTAGCTCCATGAAGAGAGGGAAAATTCGCAGTTGATGCACTAGAAGAAAAATAATGAAGTCGATGATGAAACCTGCTATAGGGAGAATAAATAAGAAACGGAAAAGGGCTAGCATCTTCGACGGAATAATTGGAGCTCTGTAGGCGATGGTTGTCTTCGAAGGGAGATAGGAAGGCGAACGATTGTCTTCCAACGGAGAGAGGAAGGAGAATGGTTAATTACGTTGTCTAGGTTTTCAATTCTTCGGAGTACGTATATTGTACACCCGGGTGTACGGGTGAGAACCGTACATCCGGTTTTTTTTTTTTAATTTTTTTAAATTTCAGCCCAATTTTGATATTCCAGATTGAATAGAATTAAATAAATCCAACGGAAGGCCCACAAAACAGGTCCAATTAAGAAAGTCAGTCCATTCAATTAAAACAGCCTATTTTTTTTTGGTGGCAGTTTTGTAATTTAAGCGAAAAATCATGGCTCCCGCTAAATGAGCAATAATGTAGTTTTGTTGAGTATCTCACATATTGTATTGAGTATTATGAGGCTAATAATGAGTATCACAATTTTTGCTTCATATCTTCCAATTCTTTTTTTTTTCCTGCTATAAAAACTTATTAATTTATATCTAAAATTCACTCCTATTAATTTCAATATGCGAGTCTAATGTAATATGATACTTTTGAAATATGCATTGATATGACATTTTAAAAATGAGCATAACATCAGTATCAAATGAGCATACATAACTTACAAATTGCACATTGATATGAAAATTGTAATGATTGTTAGTTGAACATCATGACATTTTAATTGAGCATCAAACCTCCACTATTGAGATGAAAATCACGACTTATGGAGAATGAGTAATAATAAACTTTTAATGAGCACCCGACCTATTCTGTTGAGTATTAGGAGTCGACATTTTAATTGAGCATCAAACATCTGCTATTGAGATGAAAATCATAGTTTCTTGTGAATGAGTAATAATAAACTTTTAATGAACATCAAACCTATTATGTTGAGTATTAGGAGTCTATCATAAGACAATACGTATAAAAATGCATTGATATGACATTTAGAAAATGAGCATAAGATCAGTATCAGATAAGCATATGTAACTTACAACATGAGTATTAATGAATTTGTTAGTCGCTTTGTTGGTTGAAAATCACAACATTTTCATTCAGCTTCAAAACTCCTCTATTGAGATTGATAAAAATCATGATTTCTATTATATGAGCATTCATGAATTAATAATGAGCATCAGACCTTTACAAATGAGCATGTGTAACTTACAAGATGAGCATTGATATGAAAATTGTAAGTTTTATTCGTTGAGCATCAAATCCCCGTGATTGAGTATTAGAATCTGCGATTGAGTATCATGATTTGTGGCCTCGTGTTTATGATCAACTCTTATATAAATCTAATGTAATATGAGATTTTTGAAATGTGCATTGCTAAAACATTTTTAAAATGAGCATAACAGAGATATTAAATGAACATACATAATTTACAAAATGAGTATTCAAAAATTCAAAAGTTCATTTGTGTATGTTCATTTTTTTAAGTGTTTTACTCATTTCAGTTTAAGGTAATACTCATTTTTAATGTGCTCGGTATAATATACTCATGAAAAAGAGAAAGAGGTAAAACAAATAAAGAAAGGAAAAGAAGTAAAAAATAAAACCAAAGAAAATAAGTAAAGAAAGTAATAGAAAAAGAGTGAAATCAACCACTAAAAAAGTAAAGAAACTAAAAAACAAAAAGACAAAAAAACGTAACAATCAGAACCACTAAAAAGAGTAAAGAAAACAAAACAAAAAGTAAACGTAACAATCAGAATTGATGACGGCGGAAGAAAGAAAGGAAGAGGAAGGCGGCGGAAGAAAAGAAGGAAAAGAGGAAGGAAGTCGAAAACGAAAAGCGGAAGGCTGCAGAAGACGAAAGATGATTTGCTGGAAAGAACATGCTGACTCAGAGGCTTGAAGTTGGTATATTTACAAAAATACCGGATGTACCTGTACATCCGGGTGTAGGATATAAATTACCTTCGATCTGTTTTTGTGAGTAAAAAAAAAAGCACTTTGTTAATCGAGGAGATGCGATAGTTTAAAAAAACACTTATAACGTCAGTTCTAAATTAACCGTCCTTAGACACTTCAAATACCGTAACAATAATGATTATTTTATCTAAAAAATACACCTACCACGTCCGTTCCGAACTAACCGGCGTTGTATATCAAAAAATGGCGTGCCATTCCACTATTTTTCGTCGGTTTTTACAGATAACCGACGTAAAAGACTTTTTAACGACGGTTTTTTAATAACCGACGTTTTATGTATGACGTGATATATCCCTTTTGTAGTAGTGCGCTCTTCTCTCATTCTCTTTGTTAAGACTTCATCACCGTTTGGACCTTCAACATTATACATGAATCAGGGCATTAAGCTCCACCTTACATTTTCCTTTAAAGCACTAATTTAATTGATTACATATATAGGTGAAAAATGGAAAAAGTATTAAAAGAACTTGCCTTTTTTGAATGCTTAAAAGTAAAACTCAATGACACTTTCACTTCCAATTCTAGATGTTACGGAGTAATTTTTTGTAGGCCTGGGACCGGTTCGGTTCCTAGGCCAAATATGTGGAACCGTTTGAAAATATGAAATTTTACTAACGGTTCGGTTCTTATAAATTATTTTATAGAACCGATAAGGAACCGAACCGTTCTTAACGGTTCGGTTCTTGTCATTTAACGGTTCCTAGTCTTCGAAAAAATTCTTACAAATTATGACTAAATTTTTGCCAAAAAGACATTCTACGTTTGAAATTACCATACAAATATGTTTAAACAGTTAAATAGAATAATAATTTTAAATACTTTGGACCTTCAAAGTTCCGACCCGCTGGAGTTCTGACCTAATGAGAGGCCTAAGAAGCCTAAGAGAACCGGTTGAAGTGAATAATAGTTTTAAATAGTTGAATAACTAAACTAAAATAATGAATGTAATATAAAAATAAGTAAGTAAATATACATAAAAATATATTTATACTCATAAGAAATATATATAATTTTAATTATTATATATAACGGTTCCTTAACGGTTCCTAGTACATATTTTTTTCAGGAACCGAGAACCGAACCATTAATAAAAAAATAGGAACCGAACCGTTAAAAAATAACTAATAAATGTTGGAACCGAACCGGGTCATAACGGTTCGGTCCGGTTCGGTTCTCCGGTTCTTGGTTCCAAAGTCCCAGCCCTAATTTTTTGCTTCATCTTTAAAAAGAAATTAGGTGTACGTAAATGGTTTGACTAGTTCAGCTTATTTCTTTTTAGTTAAAATTTCAAACACGGTCAATATTGTTGACCTTATCAACCAGTTCTGTATTCCAAACGTGCCAACTGCCAACTTGTTTTATTTATTGATTCTATAAACAAATCAACTTCTACAAATACCATAGTTCCATCGTGCAGAAATTAAGAAATAGAGATACTCATCAATTATCAGGATCACACATACAAACTACTTTCATGTCTAAAAACATTATAGAATTTTTTCATGAAGTTAATAATAGCTAATAAAATAGAAATTCAATTCCTCTAATCCAATTTTCATCACATTAATATACCAAGATATGAGATCAAATACAAACATTTTCTAATTTACAAACTACAAACTCATTTTAATCATCCGTTGAATTGATCTAAAGGATGAAATTGCACGATGGATTTTGGTAATAAAATCAAAACTTTTTTACGGATGTTATTTCATTACACAATAATATGCAACACATTAAACCTCAATATACAATACAAATAGCGTAAAGATGAATCGTACAAACGTTTGCATAATAAATGCACTGTACGGATATACCAGATATGCCCCCTCAATCTTTCTAACCCTTTCAAATCATATTCCCTTTATTTTAATTTTCAATATTATCTTCATTCTTTCCTTATTCATTTGTTTCTAAATAAATTTCATTTTCCTCTTGTGATGAAAGATGTATAGTTCATATCATGTATTCCTCCTCTGCACAACTCTCGATCATATCATTTCCACTTTTTTAATATTGAGACACTTAAAGTATTAATTTCATGGGGTTTGCTCCAACAATGACAAACACTTGTCAAGAGGGGTTGAATGCCTTAATTTTATAAAGAGATATTACCCGAAATGAGACTAAATAGGTTTGAAAATTCCAAACATGGGACTGTCATGTTTTTATTCTCAAAATAGGACTAATTACTGTCATGTTTTGGCAGTACCAGACTTAAAACATGACAGTAATTACTCCTATATTTGGAATAAAAACATGACAGTCCTATTTTGGAATTTTCAAACTGTTTTAGTCCCATTTCGAGAACTTTCCCTTTTATAAACAAAAAAGACTTTTACACACATTTTACTATTTACACACGTGTACCCACTGTTTGTGAAGACTTTTTTTACTGTCATAGACAAAAGGTGTTTTGTCTGTTATAGACAAAATACATTTTGTTGACAGACAATATATAAAAGTGTGTAAACAGTAAAATGTGTACAACAAGAATCGTTGTGTTATAAAAGTTCATACCAACAGTGGGTACACGTGTGTAAATAGGGAAAAGTGTCAAATAGGCCCCCTACTAATACGGAAAAGTCAATTGGGCCCCCAAACTCAAAAAACACTCAATTAAACCCACGAACTATAAAAAACGAGGCAAAACAGTCATTTTAGCATGTAATTAACCGATTCCAGGTAAACCTTTACACGTGGCGACAGCCGACATGTGGCCACAATTCAAGTGGCAACACGTGGCGACATGTGTGCGACACGCGGACTAATGGAACCGGGAACCGGTTAATTACATGCTAAAAGGGCTGGTTTGCCTCGTTTTTATAATTCGTGGGTTTAATTGAGTGTTTCTTGAGTTCGAGGGCTTAATTGACTTTTCCATATTAGTAGGGGGGTCTGTTTGACACTTTTCCTGAAAATATTTTGATAAAATGTTTGAATGGCAGAGTTTATCCTCCAACATTTAATTGTCATAATTTGTAATTGATGATTTTAAACGGGATTCTTCTTGTTGTACCCACTATTGTACCCACTATTGTACCCACCATGTCTTCATAGACATATTTTTGTCTATGACGGGGATTCACAGAA